GAGTGCAAGAATTCATTAAATTGAATTCATGAAACATTTTCACTTCAAGTTAATATTAAGCTATTTTTTTGCAAGTGCTTTTAAAAATTATGTTATGATGATCTTTTATCCTTAAACATGCAGTCATATAGTGCCATATCATTCAAAAGCTTCTGTTTGAATGTGGTTTCTGGATTAACTTGCACATGTGGTTTTTATGAATATTTAGTAAAAGCCTAATGAGCGTACTCCCTACTAGAACGGATCAAGACTTTATTAGACTGCGTTTTGTTCACTTTGAAGAGCGTTGCCATATGGGAGATCTGTTTTTTTGGGCTCTCAGGTGCTCATAGCAGATGGAGGTTGAAGTGCTCTGAAGACAGCACACCAAGCAACTGCCATCGAAGTGGGGTGGTGGGGTCTCCTAGGCCATCGCGGAAGCCTGGCAGATCCTTAGAGCGCCCGAGGAATGGCCTTGAAAGGAAGCGAGGACAGTGCTGATGCCTACAGGATAAACAATTCTAGAAATACACCGGCTTCTCTGCTCATCTGTTTCCTTGACGAAGGCAGATATTAATTAGATTCACAGTGAATCATTTACATTCTCATGCCAGAACTGAAGAAGCACTCAATTATATAAATGTTATCTCCCGTATAGTTCTGTTCAAGAACCCTGGTGACCTGCTTTTCATAATTGCATTCCTTCAAGTAAGGAGGATCCAGCTACCTTTGACTTCTACCCGTCAGTGTGATCACGGGCAGTGACCTTTGTCCCTCATCATTTAGGAGCTGAACCCATGTTTACAGAGGCAACTGGCTTATTACAGGGGGAGCATTCCTGTTGTAGGTAGCCTTTGGCCACTGTCTTGTGTGGTGGGTTTTTTGTTTGGTTGTTTGCCTATTTTTTTTTTCCTTCTCTATTAGCAGCATAATAGAATTTTGTTTTTCCAAGTGTGGTGTGATTGCATAAATTATAATTGTAATTAGTTTTCTAATGGAGATTTTGAGCTTCGTCCTCGTAAAAATATGCCTGTCTTTTGAAGAAAGAAAAAAAAAATAATGCATTTTTGGCTCTGGAAACATTGATTTTAAAACAAAGGCACCAGCTTTTTTGTGAAACTTTCCTTCTAAGAGGCATTGCCAGGTGTTTGCAGCATAGGAAAGGCGTACTATCCTTAGGGAGGCAAAGCTTTCATTTGCCCATAGAGAGATGATTTCTAACCATCTGCTCTGTATCTCAAAGAATTGGTAAGTTAAAAATGTGAATTTTCTCATCCGCTGGGAGCCTGCCTGTGCAGCACAGAGAATACGGAAGGCAACAGTCTGCGGAGAGGTGTCACTAAAAAGAACTGTCTTCTGCAGTTATAAAATAAGGCCATCTTAGATGACCATTTTTTAGGAAGTGTTTTTAAAAAACACTAATTAGTGCATGTTTATGATTAACTGGTCCAATTAATTTGTAAAGATAGCAGCTGAAAATAAAGATAATTCTATAGACAGGCAAAAGAAGACAGTTTGAAAAAGCAGGTTCAGAGCCAACAAAATCCTGAGCTAGTATTAAGCTGCTTTATTCTAAACAAGATCTGTTTTTCAAAGCGTTTTATAAGTTAGTGTTTTTTTCACTCTGCTAGTTTTTTCTTGAGATAGAGAATATAAAAAGCTTAGACCTTCATAATTTCTGTACTGTTGGATAAAATACAAGTTAAGAATTTAATTGGAAGGAAATAGCTAAATTATTTCTACTTAAAAAAAAAAAAAAGTAGAAAACAAGCCTTTTTTCCAAGCACACATGCTCAAACTGAGCTATGTATTTAGAACTTGTGTATGTCCAGTTAGGCTATTTTCATAATTCTTGCCCAAAATAAGAACAAATGTAAGATTTATTGATTTATTTGTGTAGACATATGTGACCATCTGCAGTTTTAGAAGAACCTGGTGTGGTAAGAGGCAATTGATAATCCTCTACAACACTGGTTACTGACTGCTCTATCAATGTTCCCCCCGCAAAAAAAAGTCGATATCTTATTTCCCATCAGCAACCTCCTCATTTCTTGTGCCAGACTCTCCTTACCCTTGAGCACGGTGGTTGGATACCTCCCTGTTCCGTGTAGCTCCTTGTTGGAATGCCATTTACTCAGGCATTTATGGTGTTACTCAGAGGTTTCCGTCGGGTTCCTGTTCATTATAGCTGGCAGTAGCAGAGCTGGGACGCCAGTTGACGTTGAGTAGTGAAAGGGTTTTTATTACAGATAAAAGTATAAAACATAAGGAAATGTTGCAGAGGAGAAAGGTCTTTAACAGTAGTGTGATTTTACTGGTTGTTTTTCGCTCTGCTTTAAATTTTACATTTCCCAGGGAGCGATGTTAAGGATTCTGTAGGATGGGGATCTGTCCCTTTTGTCCTGGGTTCCTCCTCACTGCTGGGTTTTCTGCAGCGACAGCCACAGGACTTGGGGACAGGCTTTGATACAGGCATTGCACCCAAAAGCTACAAAAGAGCAGTTCTGCACATTCCACCGCGATTTCATTGGCATCACTGTAAGGTTTGTTTACAAACTTGAATAACTAGACTGAAATTCTTCATTGGCTTCAAATGTGATTTTCTTACTGCTGGGCTCTGCTTCCTGCAGTATATAATTAGACTCAGAGTATTACATTTTGGCATAAATGACAGCATTGATTTCTTCTTTTACCCAATTATTGACAGGACTTAAGAAAGAAACAAGATTTCTTTTTCTATAGGTATTTTGCATGTAGGTAATTGAGTAGGTTCATGTAGAATGAGTCACTTGTGTAAACTTGACTGTATAAGTGTTTTCACAACTACAGTTTTGTATTTGTTCATTAATTTTTTTTCCACTGAGCTGTCAGCTCAGAAATCTGTGAAAAATAGCATTTAGAAAAATCTAATTTGAAATAATTTGATCTTATGAATCTTAATTCATGAAGTTAGCCATTTCAACTATTTTTTTTTTATTTTCCTCTGAGAAATAGTTCTTCTTGTGTGGTATAAATAAGTGGACGTGGTGGATAACTGGTTTTGTGCTAGTTTTAATATTCCCAGTTCTGTTACAAAGAGACAAATTATACACAGAAAACAACAGTTCGCACTGTAGTACAAGGTTTCCATAAAGAAACAGAAATTTACTGTGGATTTCAAGAATATTATAAAAATAAATATTAAAGAGTTCTTCATACAGGTTTTGCTCATACTACTGTTTTGTCTTTGTCTTGCTAAACTTCTTCCCTCTTTCTGTCTTCCAAGATGTTTTTTCAAGAAATGCTATCAAAGCAGGACCTTTAGTCATCTCCCTGAAAGATTTAAGGAAAACCACTTCCATGGGCATGTAAACTTACACTTTTAATTATACAGTCGCTCATTTTTTTTCAGAGAAGATAAACGACTTGAACGACTGAGCGCTGTTCTCTGTTGAAGTAAAGGCAAGGAATTAAAATGTAAAAAAATATGCTTTGGTTCCTACACAATTATAGAAGCCGTGTTGTAGCTAAGTCGAGCAATAGGAAACGTGTCTACACAATAGTTGCAGCTTTGACTGTAGCCGTCAGTAGTTTTACAGACTGACCTTGAAAATGAGGTGTGCGCGTATGAAATGATAGGTTACTTTTAACAAAGTGTTCCCATTGTTATTTCCTAGAATAATAACGCATCAATGTCCCCAAAAGCGTACCGTAAGAGTTTTCCTTTGAAGCTCAGAGTCAGCTTTACAGGCATGTTTAGAAACACATCTTACAGTGATTAGAAAACACAATATGTATATAGTGTCTGCAAAATAGATACTTTTTTCAGGAGGCCAGCTGAGTTGTTCTGAGGTGCAGTGGTTTTTCGTTATCATACTAATTGTTATTTGACATATCAGACTAAGAAATGAATATTGTAACCCTTCCTGAAACGTCGAAGCACATAATCACCATTTGCAGCAACGAAGGTCTTCCAAGAGA